AAATCAGTTAATAAATTGATAAAAAATCATATAGATTAACTGATTCATAGATGATATATGAATAGCAGACATATACCAGAGTAAATAAATGAATAAAACATACACGGAACTTTTTTTTTTCAATGTAAGTATTTAAATGTAAATAAAATCAAAATAAATACAACAGACAATTAATGAGTCACATGAAAAATCATCATAACAAACCAGTAAACAAATAACTGTTAAAAGATATAAGAAAGATACCTTAAAGGCCCGCTCACATCTAACACTCTTCCACCTCCCTGCAGCTTTACCCTAAAAGGCTCGAACGTGTCCGGCGTGCTAACCCAAGACACGTGGGGCAACCTGACGTTCCATCAGGTGGTCATCGAAGGGAACCAGATCACGCAAGTCGACAACAAGGCTTTCGCTAAATCGGCTGAGACGCTTACTTTCCTCAGTCTTTGTAAGTGGGTCTTTTTGTTGTTTTTTTTAAGGTTTTATTCCGTTTTTTCGTCTGTGTTTGTGTGTTTGATTGGTGGTATGATTTCTAATGTTGATTTGTACAATGAAGTTTAAGATGTAGACGGATTTCAACTCGCAAGCATTGACAATGGTTAGTGTAATTACTGTTAGTATGATGAGCAAGTGTTCGGTGATGATGATGGTTATGAGTTCTGAGAAGCCAATTTCCGGTAGGAAGGATATTCTTTTGAATTCTTCAGCTGGCAAAGTCACAACACATTTCGCTCAGCGTTGCTTTGTTTTTGGGCGGCCAATATTTATACCTGTTGCGTTTAACGTCGTGGTATGTCAATATATTGGAAAGATCATTTTACCTTCCGTAAGTGGAATACTTGATATAGCGAGATTAATCAGTCCTAGAGATACTATGATCTTGACTGATAAAGTATCGAAAAATCCGAAGTATGCATCGTGCGTCAGATTCCTTGACAGAACGTTTTGCTGACACCGTCATGTGTCAGACTATTTCGATTATTCTGATAGCATTAGTGATCGTGATCTTTGGACCTTTTCATTAAGGGAGGCAGTGACATTGTATTTTTCTCTTCTTCTTTTTGTAGCATCGACCTTGCAATAATCGTGTTCCAAGAAACTACCGGTGAAAATAACATGGCCGTACCCTTTGTTCTTGACCCCGACGTTTTATATTATCGGCCTTGGTGACGGCCTGAGGGATTCTTGTCGTTCCAGGGCTCTTGGACTTTGTATCGGCTCAGTGTTATCTTCCTTCGTCAGCCCTTGAGTGAGCTGCTACGTCTGAGGCGGACCGGGTCGTCCTGGGCTGACCTGGCAGTTCTTTTAACATGTTGATTATTGTCTGGAGAGTTGAGAGATATTCTCCATTATATTTTACATTCGCTGATGCAATAGCAGATACACACACACACTCACTCACTCACACACACACACACACACACACACACACACACACACACACACACACACACACACACACACACACACACACACACACACACACACACATATGTATATATAATTTTAGATACCCCCACTAATGTTTCTTGGGATAGAAAAGAGATTATATTAGTATACCAAAAGATTATCCCAAGCAGACCATAAAAGTTAGTAAAAGTGCTATTTCTGCAATTTTTTTTTATAGTATTAACCCACGCTTTCGCCAAGAGAATAACAAACATGATTAGAGAAATTTCTACTTTTCACTTGGACTCGCACCCGCTAGGAAACTACTAACGCCCCCTACTCACTAGGCTAAATGGGCTAGGCTAGTGATGAGTGAATATTTATCTAGAACTCGGTGTTTTAGTTGGTTTTCACGGACTAAAACTAATTCTGAAAAAAGTCGATCTGTATCAATATTTCTTTAATATCGACGACGTACTTAGTCGACTCAACTACGTATGTTTTCGCTAACGTAATGTTAATCCCAGTCGGGTTACTGATGTGTAGCGGAAAAGGTACTGACAACAGCATTCATAAATGTTTTACTTAAATAAATACAATTTAAATACATGTTTAAAAAAAAAACTTCTTCCCATTCCAGTTAACAACAAGATCGACTACTACGTAACGAGCAGCCATAACGACCTGCCCAAGTTACGGACTTTGGTGCTGAAGCAGAACAAGATCACGGTCATCTTCGCCAACGCCTTCAGCTACGCCTCTCTCAGGGAAATTGATCTTTCGCACAACGAGATCGCCACCATCGGCAAGGAAGCTTTCGCAGGTACCATAGCAAGCCTCGTTTTGGATTTTGAAGTATGTTGATGTGTATCGCGTTGGCCAGCTCTGGAATGTTCTGACACGATTTATATCTGAATGAATGAGTTTATGTGTGTGTGTGTGTGTGTGTGTGTGTGTGTGTGTGTGTGTGTGTGTGTGTGTGTGTGTGTGTGCGTGTGTGCGTGTGTGTGTGTGTGTGTGTGTGTGTGTGTGTGTGTGTGTGTGTGTGTGTGTGTGTGTGTGTGTGTGTGTGTGTGCGTGTGTGTGCGTGTGTGTGCGTGTGTGTGTGTGTGTG